AATAAATAAAAAATAAATAATAATAAGAAAGGAAGAGAGAGAAAGGGAGAGAAAGAGACAAAGAGATAGAAACACATTTTTTTATAAAAATGAATTATTCTGAAATAAAATTTAAAGAACCTGCTTTTTATGTACACCTTAATATTTAAAATGTCCAAGTTCAACGTATAAATCGTTGAACAGTTAAATCGTTCAGATTTAATGACATAATAACATTTAAAAAAATAATAAGATGAGAAATTGTATGAAAAATTATGAGAACAATTTTTACTAGGGATGATATATATACACCTTAAAATGGCCATTTAACCGTTGTACTATTCTATACTTGTACTCGTTATTTCTCTATTATTGTTGCTTTTTTATAAAAAATGAGTAATACAATTTTAAAATATAAACATTGTTTTTTATTGTGTATATGTGTACAATTATTGCACAATATAATTATCTTGACTTCTCTGCAGCAGTTTTACATAGTGTGTATGTGAAACTGCCTCATTTAATAACGTACATATGGCCCTTAATAGAATTAAATAGCTTATCTAGGAAACAGAATCTGCACGCAATCTGCCGTCAGTCTGACGTCAGAGTCTGTCGACAGGCTCTGCGCGCAGTCTGTCACCAATCTGTCGTCAGAGACTGCTAAAACAGTTTCTGTGTGCAGTCTGTTGCCATTCTGTCAACAGACACTGTTGACAGACTCTGCGTAAAATCTGCTCGCACAGGTTTGGCTATCTGGGAGGAAAATATCTCTCAAAAGTCCTAGTTCAAACGAAATATTCGCTACACTCTGCTGTAAAGTCCTAACAGAAGGAAAAGGAGCAACAAATTCTCTTATATAATTATAACCTGTAGTATCACAAATAAAATGTAAGCCCAGTGCTTTTAAAATGGTCTCTTTTGACCATTTGGAAGCTCTATTAGATCCAATTTCTAAAACTTGCAATTGATCCTTAGCCAACGTCTTGTACATAATTTGTACATGTTCACTTAGTATTTGAACCTGTTCTTTTAACCTGGAATTTTCTTCATATATCGTCCTATGCTCATCTGCTACATCTATCCCTTTATATTTCTTGTTTACATTCATAACATCTTTTAGGATTTCTTTCACTTCATGTCGTAACTGTTCATTTTCATATATTATGTTCCTCAATAAATTCTCATATTAATCCACTGGTTGCATTTGGTCTATTTCTTCTGTAACATCTTGAAACTTGCAAACTTCTTCAATAAACTCTTCTTGTTGGACAGCTGATATTTCATTTTTCGTCAATGGAGGTTGCATAACAACGCAATTATTGTGTTTTCTAACAGAAGTTTGGTACTCGTAAGGACTATTCCTATATACCGCTTTTTTTCTCAACTTTCTATGATTATTCTCTGGATCCCCTGAAGGACAGCTACAGAAACGAGAGAGAACTGAACCAAGCTTAACTTGTTTGCGTCCAGCAACAAATTCGATTTCGGCTGGCTTAAAGTGTACCTGCAGATATAAAATAATTAACATACTAACAATATATTACATAGTTATATACGTTTATCTCCTGAAGTACAAAGTAAAAACATATTGCAACATGCTACTAACCTCGCAAAGTTTTTGTAAAATACTAGGGAACCAGTTTTTGTCTCTCCCAACCATTGCAATTCTCTCTTGATGGTTTCATCTTGCAGATATTTGAATAATGCGTAATCTTCATCACTTCTGTTGCAACAGTTGTATGCTGTGCAATTCGATGGCATAGCGTACGATAATAGTATCTGTAATCCAAGTACAACAAATTATCTGATTAAAAATTTGCGTCACCAAATAATTATCTATAAACTAATAATAAACGTATAGCTTTAACTCCTAAATTTATATTTCTTACAATCACAGTTTATTTATAACTTCTCCTAAGAAATACTTCAGTTAAATTTCTTAATAAATATCTTAATAAATGTCAATATCAAAACGTACTTATTAATATGATGAACGGTCGCTAATAACGGCTTACCTCACACATGTAATCATCTGTTCATCATTGGCGTTGCAATATCCAAATCCGTACATGTTTATGCCAGCCAATCGCAGAATAACTGGTCACATGACCAAGTTGGCGATTCTTTTTACTAGAAATTCTCTGATGCAATCAAACCGACACCGCCGAAAACAAGCGAATGCGACCGAAAAGCGGCAGCGCCGAATTCGGTCGAGCGCGACCGAACACATGCGTCTACCCCAATGGGAGGCGAACGAGCGATGAACGGAGTCGCACGAGAAAACAAACATTCAGCTATATAAACCGCGACTACCAACTTGCGAATAAGATTTTCTCGAGTGCTAAAGAGAGTGAAGAGATCTCGAAACACTTCTACGAGAAGGCTTAATTCTGTGGATGCGCAGGATCACGATCTGCTGATAATAAATACGCAACATCAGTTTCCCGAAGCCGCGGATACGCAACTCCAGTTAGCCAAGTGTGGCGGATGCGCGACACTGATGATCTCCGCCAAACTGAGTAAACGTAGTTCGCCGATCTAACCAAACCGCGAATTCGCGGTTAATCGCCTTCGAGAAACGGATACGCGAGTTCCTACAACCTTACCTCCTACTAGCAGCGGCCGCGGATGCGCGTCCGCGTACTACTTATAGCTCCTGCACACAGGACGCGGTAATGTTTGCCGCGCGGCGGAAGTCCGCGCGACAGCCAATCAATATGTTGTTTTTCCGTAAGAACTAGAAGATTATTACGGAAAGCAGCATATTGATTGGCTGTCACGCGAACTTCCGCCGCGCGGAAAACATTACCGCGTCCTGTGTGCAGGAGCCATTAGAGCATATACAGGGTGTAAAAAAATTAGACTGACAAACCTTGAGGGGAAATAAAGGATATAAAAACAAACTTATTTTGTTAATAATGTTTTTCTCTACGACGCTTCGTTTTAATACTACAAGGTACAAAACAGAAATTTTATGATTTTAATAAAAAACAAGCATATACGCGGAAAATTAAATTTATTTAAATTACACATATATATTTTAATCTTCAAAAAACAAAGAACGGAACAAAAATGCGCAATTGATCAGCTCAATTTATAATAAATGTTAAAAAATTCCTCCATTTGCTTCAACACAAAGATGACATCGTCGAAACATTGATTGTCTCACACGCTCGAAGACTGTAGGAATATTCTGAACCTGATATGCTGCCCGAATATGTTAACCCGAATTTTGCTGTCTCATAAAATAATCTTTTAAATGTAATCACGCGCTGTCACTTTTCTATCACGACCTCGAGAAAACGAAAGATATTAGGTGGTAAACTTAGTTCCTGCGGCTCACCGTTAGATGACGTTAGTTGTAGGTGTAATTTATTTTGACATCTGAAACTGGCTGCATTTTA